TATATATATATGAACATGATTGTCTTATTACTCACTCTTACTAGAAATGAAATCGAAACCGAATTTGAAGCAACAATTAAAAAGTTACGAAGAATACAACAGCAGCGCCTCCCATCGACGTTTTCGAAAATTTAATCAATAAGCCGATGTTCCCAGGAAAAAAAAAACTTCGCTCCATATGTGCAACAAAACGGTTTCTAGAAAGATGAATGAGAATAAAGTAAAAGGAATATAAAATCTCCGGAACTCTTTTAAATTCTCCCTGTTATTACTTGAAGACTTTCTTGGTGAGAATATTCAGCATTGTTTGCGCAAAGTAAGTAAACGTTTGAGTGTGAAAGCGATTTTAAATTCGCAATTTTTAAAGTGAAGTATTACATGAAATCATAAAACTGTGAGTTTGACAAATATTTTGAAATGGCAGTCAATAAACATTCAAGTAAACTTTACTAATTAAATTAAATTAAAAAAATGCACAAATAACAGTTATAATTATTAATTAGTTACTGTCGAATTTTAAAAAATAATACACTTTATGACGTTATTACGCTCTTCTAAGCACACAGATTTTAAGTTAAATTAAGTTATAACAGTAAATAAAAAATTACAACTGTTTAAAAATCAATGCTTTAAAATTTTTCCCTTTTCCTAGATAAAATGGTTGTTTATAATTAGATATTCTAAGTCGGAATTATACTAATCATAATAAATTAAATTCAGGCTCAGGAAAAGAAAGATGAATGACATTAAAAAAAATAGATCAGTAGAGAGATTTTATTTTTAATAATATTAATGCTATGTTAATAATAGAAAAAATACCGTGTATCAACTGTTGAAATGCATTTAAATTCATTCATTTTCTGGGTAAAATATCCCTGCTTATAACGAAATCTTTTAATCTTAACTATATTAAATAAATTCAACTTCATTAGAAGAGAAAGTTGATTTGAATTATATTTCCCCACCCCTTTTACATATGCTTCAACAAAAACTGCAAATCATTCAAATTGCAAGTTCTTTAATAAAGGTTAAATACTTTAAAATTTTCAGAGATTTATTTCAGAGTTTCTGAGTAAAGATAAAATGGTTTTGAAAGTAAGCGTAGGGTAATTTAATTTACTTAGTTAAATGTCACTCACGTAATAGATTGTTATTGCCGAAATTATTTCCGTTTTTAATTTTCTTGAATTTTATTTTTATGGATTTTTTGTAACCATTATTAACATTATACGCAGGCTAAAATCTTTAAAATATCTTACGCATATTAAAATATCTTACACACATTTATGCTTGGCTTGACAACTATTTTTTTTTCTATTACTAATGCTATCAACACACTAAAAACAATTACAAATAACATAAAAATACACTTAGTTCCTTTTTGTTTGCATTATGCAGCTTTCGTCACAAAAATGCTAAAAATCTATAAAAATCTCAATTTTGAATTTTTGTGTCGATTGCTTTGATTTTTCTATTTAACGCAGAGACCTGATATTTCTACTCAAACATTAACTCTCATAATTGTTTAGCGGATTAATTGGTTAATTATTTTTTTAATTCGTTATATTTATAATTCTGAACTGCTTATTAGATGAAATGATTTTTTCTCTCGCATGTTAATTGACATTTTAACCCTATTGATCATTTGATTCTAACTTAATCCGATGATTCATTTTATTACACATTCATTGAATCACCGATCTACTGTTTCATTCTTTATTTCACCCTCTGTTCTGTTTATTAATTGATAGATGTTTGAAGTTTATTTTATTATACAGTACAGAACCCGTTATCCGGAAATCAGAAAACTGGAAAACCAAAAAACCGGAGCGAAATTCGATAAATTTTCCCGCTATTTTAATAAAAAAAAATTTTTTTTTCCTCATAAGATTTTAGGATTTTTCTTTCTTTTTTGAAAGATGTTTACCCTAGCATCATTTTGGAAATAATTATTAGTGTATTACTTCGTTTTTTCAAGATTATTTCCAATTAATTTCTTTTTTAGTTGGGTTTTACAATAAAAAAAACGACTTTTTGTAGCGATTCAGAAAACCGGAAAAATCAGTTATCCGGAATAGCGATGGTCCCGATCGTGCCGGATAATCGGTTTCCTACTGTAATTAAAAATAATAATGAACTATTTGTGATTAGTGAAATAATTTTTTTAAATGTCAATGCAAAATAAATCAACGATATAAAATTACAGTTTTACTTTATTTGAAAAAGAAGCATGTTTTCACAAAATTGTTCACAAAGTGAAAATAATTTTAAATACAAAATTATGAATACAATCTAATTTCAAATACTTACATTTTCAACTGAGAAAAAGGCTACTATTAGCTAGAGGACTAAAATTTTAGAGCGTGAAATGTTTTAAAAATATTTTTTCCTTCTTAAATGGACAAGAATTTTGCTCAAATTTTAAAATTGAATAAATTTAAGAAAAACTTTAATGGAGTTTTATGACAATACATTTTTTACAAAATTTTATTTGCTTTTTACACTCACAACTGTGGTTTATATAAAATAAAACTATTACTTCCTAAATACTAAAAAAAAATTATTTCATTACATTAATTTTTTAATATTTCTAAACTCTATAGCGAGGTTAAAAAATTGTATTTTAATATTTCGCTATTGCAACCGCATTTTATATTTAAAATTACGCAAACATTGAAATCGTAATTATTTTATTTTTCAGACGGGTGTTTAAGAAGTTTTAATAAAAGCTTTTTATATGATGTCAATAACACTAGATAACTACTTTTGTATAGAACAAAAGTTAGAAATTAGAACAAAAGTTAGAAACTAGAACAAAAGTTTAAGTGACTAGATTTAAAAAAAAAAAGAAATATAGAGGAAACAGAAAGGAAAGAAAAAAAAAACGTTGAGATTTAAATATATATTTAGCCAAGATTTTATTTATAGCCGGAACTTTATATTTAGTCACAACTTATTTTTAGAAACATTAGTGCTGCCATCTGGAAAAAAGCAAGCTTAAACAAGATCGACCTTATTTTAACTTTTGATATATATATACAAATTATAAATTAAATAAGTATTTTGTAAAGTATATTTCACTTACCCTCTTTTGCAAAATCACACGCAATTCTTATAGAATCCTATAAAGAATTTAAAATGAAAAAGAATAAATCTTACAGAAAATAAATAAATAAAAAAAAAAATACTTAAATCGCGAGATTTTTTATAATAATCAGTACTTTTATAATTATTTCTAAAAATGGTTTTCATTATAAATATACTATTTTTAGTAAACTATTGTGAAAAATAACTAAATTTAAAATTAAAAAAATATATAAATTTTAAATCAAAAATTTTTTAATTTTAAATCAAACAATTATTTATTTTAAATCAAAAAATTATGTTATATTTCTATTCTATTTTGTACTATACTCTATTTTTACAAAAATCCATAACTTATTTACTACTAGAAACTTCACTGAACAGTTAATAAAAATCATAAGCGATTTATACTTAAGATTAATGTACTGTGGTGTCATCACAGTAAGCATTTTTCATCTTTTCTTTTCGCCCTGCATACAGTAGACAATCTAACAATGCTGAAAGAAAACGGCTAGTAATTTAGATACTCTATCATGCTTTTTCTAATTTCTGTTTATTTCCTTTTTATTTATTTCGGTTCTAAGATAATTTCTATGACATATTGTGAAGAGAAATATCTCTATTGCTAATTTAACAAAAATATTTTACATAGTATATATAAACAATACCTTTTATAAATTTCTGTTATTTTTTTAAAGGATTAGCATAAATGCCAAGCATAGAAATATGCATATGTTCAAAATAGAAATAAATTTAAGAACAAAAAAAAATATAGAACTGTTAGAATATTTAAATTTAACAGCAGTTTATTTTAAGAGCCAAAAAATATACATTTCTCTTCATTTTCAATCCACATTCTCGAAAAAATACCACAATTAGAAAAAATATTTTGCTTCATACTATTTTAGTTTATGAGTCATTAATTTATTGTTTTTCTAAAAGGATTTGAGTCATAGACGTTGCCAGCGTAAATATATAAACTTTATTCTTTTTTCTGAAAATTCCAAGAAGCACGATTAAAATGAAGTAGCATATATATTTTCTCTAGATTCTAAAAAATATAAATTAAATAAAAGAAAGAAAAGAAAACGCTATGTGGAATAAATATTTGCTCCGAAAAGAAAATTGTTACAATAATTTAAATAAAAAAATGTTCCAGTTGATGATGATAATCTTTTTCATAATTTATGATAATCAGTTCCATAATGATTTCAAGGGAAAGAAATCCTTTAAAACTAAAAATAATTCTAAAGAGTTTGAAAAACATTTTTTTGTCGGTGCTTATTTTTGCGTTGTCTTTCTGATAACACACTGTTGAGTGCGTCTCCTTAATCATCATGAGAAATGTAAAAGCCTTATCTGATTTTTATTTTAATTTTCAGTATAATAAATACATTTATGTTAAATGTATTTTCTCTCTTAATTTTTTAATTTTATGTATTTAAAAGAAAGTTGAAAAAAGTAGAAAAAAAACTTTTTCTTTACTCTCTATTTTTGCTCCAGCTTTTTTTAGAAACATGAAGACATTCGTCAATAACTTATTTCCATGGAAACTAGACACACTAAACATTTAACTCAATTGAAAAAAGTCTGGCGCAGGAAACGTAGTAATTCCAATTGCGCATGCTTACTACTCACTACTTTTCGCTACCTGTACATTATTGCGCAGATGAAACAGTCTATGCTTCAAATTGGCTGTATTAAAAGATTAAAAAAATTATGAATTTTGTAACTTGAATTTAATGCATATATATCGGGAATCGTTGTAAGAAAATGGTCAAAAATTACTCTCAGATGCAACGTCTCTACGAGTTTTTTCAGTTGTTCGCTTAGCTTACTAAAATGTGTTAAAACAAAAAAAACCGAAACTTTTTCCATTTAAATTTCTTGTTTCTTAATGAAAGATTTGAACTAAGTGTCACTCAATTTTCACGTCATGTCTGTGTATCTACATTATGCACAAGAAAAAATAGTTTTAAACTGTTTGTTTTGCGCTAACAACATATTTAATTCTTGAATAGAAACTGTTTAAATTATCAAGAGTTATTTTTGTGTGTACGACTTTATGTAATGGATCTTGAGCACCTCATGTCACGTTTTTCATTTTTCAAGAGTGTTTCAAGAATTGAAGAATATTTTACATTTGCTTCGTAAATAGTTCCAATTGATGATTTTATTGAAATCAAAATCAAAGGACATAGTAAGTGCAAGATCTGTGCATAGACGCCAACCCTATTTCCACCTACGGATATGCATATAGATTAATGCTGTGTTGTGATTTGTGATTAAGTTGTCATCAGTGATTTGGCATTAGAATAATTTCAACAAACTGCCACATGTTTCAAAGAATATAATTTGTGCAGTGTATCGAAAAGTTAAGTTTTATGAATGTGAAAAACCTCAGTGGATACGCAGTCATGGATACTATCTCACGGATACATACTAATGCATACACGCAGTGCTTCAGATGTAATGGTATAATATCCTGGTTTAATATTGATATATATGTTACCGGCAAAGTATGAAACGCCGGCATTCTATAAAATGCCTAGGCATTGTATAAAATGCCGGATGTTTTTTAGGGAAGGTATGAAATATGAGAAGTATTAGATACTTTCCCTAGGCATTGTATATAATGCCTAGGCATTCTATAGAATGACAAATGCTATTTAGGCAAAGTATGAGAAAAACGTCCTGATGAGGTTGTTATGTAAATGATGAGCATTTCTCAAAAATAAAAAGGTTATTCTGAATAAATAATGAGAGTGCTATTAAAAAAATATATTCAAAATGCGCGAAGAAAAATGAAAGTTGTACGAAACATAATTTATGCCTTTATTATTAAGGGAAACAAAATTTTCGTATAAAAAAATTCACATTTAAGTCACAGTTATTTTCAGTTAAGAAATAAATATAGCACAAAATATTCATTTCATCAACTTTACTAACATGGCCAGAGAAGATTTTATACTCATTTGGCATTCTATAGAATACCTAGGAAATGTGTGAAATATAAATCATTTCATACATTGCCGGCTAGTTTTAGGCATTATATATGTTACCGTTAAAGTATATAATGCAGTTATTTCATACAATGCCTAGTTATTCCATAAAATAACTGATCGCATCCGTTAAAGTGAGTAATATGTTATTAATTTGACACTTTAACTAGTTATTCTATGAAATAACTAGGTATTCTATAAATTAACTAATGAGAGACAGTTAAAGTGTAAAATAAACAATTTATCTAAAATGAAATAACTAGATATTCTATAAATAAACGAATGATAGACAATTAAAATGAAAAAGAAGCAATTTATTTAATTTATTCAGCTTATAAATGGTATTTATGGAAACGTACCATAAAATCATTTGTTACAACAAGGATTACTAAAAAGACACTTGGAATTACAAAGAACATTATTTCTAAAATAAAAAACATTTTTGTTGACACACTGGGTTTTAAACGAACATTTTTAAAATCCCTGACCATTACCTAAACTTTGAGCTGTAGCATACAGATTATTTTACACTTTAACGGGCTGCAGATCGTTATTCTATGAAATAACTAGTTAAACCATGAAATACAAGAGAGTTTTACACTTTAATGGATACGATCAGTTATTTCATGGAATAACTAGGTATTCTATAAAATAACGGATTTCATACTTTAACGGTAACATATACAATGCCTAGGCATTCTATAGAAGGCCGGATTTCAAACTTTGCGGATAATATATATATATTTAAAAAAAGTAATTTCTCTCATGATTTCTCCCGTGATTCTTTTAATTATTTAAACATTTAACAATTACATTAAAATATTCCGACAAAAGAGTGATATTACTACGAAATCGATACTCTTTTTACTTATAGTTTTTTAGCCTGCATATTTAAAAATATTGCCCACTTTGAAAAAGTATAAATTTATGAAATATTTTTTTGTTTTTTTGTTCTGACGTATGTATTGAGGAAATAAGTTATGTCATACTTTAAGCCCACTCGCTGACGCCATAATTTCTTTTCAATCGTCAACAATCTCATAACTTAAAAGTAGAGACAAAAAAATTAAAGAATATTTTTTTAAATAGGACTAATAATATTTTTCTTTAAATGGTGAAAAAAACTAAGATTACATTTTTGTAAAAATGTTTTTGTGATAAGAATGTTGGGTTTCGTTTTCGTATTTGTATTGAACTCGTGCTTTTCCTGTAAAAAATTTTTTTTCATGTTTTTTTTTTGTAAAAAAAATTTGGAAAGTAATTGTATGCTCCGAAAAAGAGTTCCTCATATTGGATGTCTTATTTTGTGTTTCTCTGACTGCAAAAGATATTATAGATAAGTGTATGCTTATAGTTTAAATGGTTCCCTTCATTTTGGCTTCGGTAAGATCGTAAATAATTTATAGATTTTACTTTAATGTTTTAAAAAACTGGTTAAGGAAGAAAAATATGATAAAGAATTTTTTTTAAGGTATTTTTTTTAGTTATTAATTGCAGAAGCTGCTGAATTGAAATAAAAGTATTGACGATTTTTATAAAAAATTCGAATAGGTTAATTTTAGATGTTTCATAGATGTTTCATCATTTGAAATGACGAAAAAAATTAGGATCTCATATCGGTTAAAAATATGAATGCAATAAAAGTTTTGGTTCCGTTGTCGTATTTTTATTGAAATTTAACCATTGGTTATTAATAAAACGATAAAAAAAATTAAGTTATTACCTCACATTAATTATTTTCAAAATGTATTTCTTTAAATAATATATTTGCAACTATTATTGGACTTAATTCATTATGAAAGAAGGTCGATCATTTAGAAGCCGGAAAAAATTTGGAACTTGTAGAATTTTTTAATATAGAAAAAAAAACTGCATGAATATTAAATTTTGGGAAGCATATTTGCGGATATGACTGTGGGAGCTGAAGACAAAGTTATATCATTTATTAATTAATTTACATTTAATTGATTTAAGTTAAATTTTTATAAACTAATCATGTTCATTAAACATTATTCTCCTTCATTTTTTTCTATTTTTAATGAAAGTAAATTGTTTACTTTCTGGAGTATTTTTTATCCAATCTGGTTGGATTAAACCGGATGTTCATTACATTCAAAGTAACGATGAAAAAAAAAGCCGTTGTGTTTTTATATTAATATCCTTATTTATGTCCTTAAATCAATACCATGATTTTTTTTTTGCTCTGAGCAAAATAGAAAGATTTAAAAACCTAAGTAGTTTTAAACCTAATATATTTCTAACCTACACTAAATTAAAATATTTGATAAAATGTAAGCGCAGAAATCATAAATAAATATTAAAATCATGAATTTCTGCACTGCTACAGGCTTCAAGGCAGTGGTTTCCAACTGGCGACCCGCGGGCCTCATCCGGCCCGCGAAACAAAATATATTAATTGTCATTTTTTTGCGGACAATTTTCGTAGAAAATTTACATGTGTTTTAAATATTTTAAGTTTTTTTGTCTTAAGAATTCGATATCTGTTTCATATTAATTGTTTGATACATAGGTGCACATTATTGTAGCCAGAATTTCTTAATATGCAATAAAATATTTTCTTATTTTAATGCGTAATTCAATACTTTTGTTTTGTACAACCTAAAAAAATCTGACAGTAATATTTAACGTTCCTTCAAACATAAAAGAGTCCTATATAAAGTTTTGATAAATTTGCGGCCCGCCATTTGACTGCTGTTTTTAATTGCGGCCCCCGGCCTCATGTAAGTTGGAAACCCCTGTTTTATATGCCCGTCTTATTCATTTGAGGTATTTTATCCTTTCTTCGAACTTTGAATCGGCACATACTGCTCACAGCCTTTTTTACTTCCTGAATTTAACAGATCGACAAGGTCCCGCTTTCCAAACACGACATGTAGCAAAATAGAAGACAAAAATTTAAACAAGGCCTGTTTTAATAGTTTAAAATAATAGCTAAAAGCGGAGTTATCAAATGTTACCTTAGCAAAAATAAATCTTCTATAGAGTAAGATCAGTGGAGTAAAAGTCAAAACTTTTCAAATCAAGATACAGATCTCAACAAGCAAATAGATACAGATTCAAAATAGATACAGATCTTGGCAAGCATAGTAGAAAGTACTGAGTCAATCTTCAGCACTATCTTCACGAATCAAAAATTATCTGCACCAAAAAGTCAGGGGGAAACTATTGTTGTAAAAATAAGGCTTACTTAAACATATGTATAGTGAAAATTTTAATTCGCCAATTCAATGAAGAAAAAAATTGAGCACAAGAAATATATATTGTTTCAATTTAATTTGAAACATATAACAAATAACTTGAAACAATAATTTGAAACACATAATTTGAAGCAAATTCAAATTATACTTTAAAAGAAAGATGGAGCAAATCTATATTTAAAGCATTTAAATAATTAACCTGAACTTTTTTTTGCAGATTATATTCAATTTAAACTTTTCATTCAATAAATGCTGCCAGTATTAATAAACTATTACAGATAAATTACTTACAAACTATTATTGCCATTCCTGTCATTAAACAACAGCAGACAGCTCTATAAATCGAGTAACGAATTAGATTTCGTTATGTTTCTTTACATGTTATTTTCTGTTTTTTGCTTGATATGTTTCATTTCGTATATATTTCTTACTTAATGTGTTCTATTTTCGTTTAAATTTTTTGAGTACTACTCACACTATTGTATTGGTATATTTTGCTTTCGCTATATTAATTACAATATTAGAAAGCACTCCTTTTTGCGGACATAACCATGAAAGCTGGTGAAGAGATTATATATTTTCATTATTTTGTTTTCCGGCTTTTTAATATAATATAAAACGGTATAAATTATTTTCCTCCCTCATAAACGATCGTCTTCTGCTGCATTTTAAGGATTACTAAGTGAAGACAAATCAATAACGTGGAATATTAGTTCTACTGAGAGTTATTACACAGTGAATTTGGGCTTTTTTGAAAAACTGTTACTGACAGAGCAAACATTTGCTGTTTCTCAGAATCGGTTTTCATGGACATAAACTGTTCTCCCCTGTTCATCTTTTTATTTTTAATCTGAAATGTAAATTATTTATTATTTTGAAAAATAATTAGAACATTTTATAACTATCACAATATACACCTGGATACCAATTGCTATAATAAATAACTGCAACCCGCTTCTTGAAAGGTGTTGGATTTTTAGTTCCAAAATACTTGAAAGTTGCACTTCTTAAACTCTTCCTAATCATATATATATAAAATTTAAAGTTTTTAATTATGTTTTGTTAAAGTTTTAAAGTTTAGTTTTCTTATGCTTCCGATTTTCTTATTTTATTACTGTTTGAAAAAAAGAAACTAAACATAAAACAACATTAACAAATAAATCAAACACATTAAAATTTTTTCCAATAGTTGGGTAATTAAAGTTCCTTATTAGGTAATAACTGTTAGTAGCATATTTAAGTTTAGACAGTAATT